ATGTTCTTACAAACAAGACTCAACAAAAATGATGAGATTTTAAGAGGGCTCTGGACAGCCTCTCTTGCTCTCTCCCTTCTCGGCTCTGTCTAAAGTCATGTGATGTATTGCAATCTGCCCTAAAAAACAGGGAGCCCTCAATCCAATAATCTCTGAGAGACCAGGCGTGACGGTGCACACTTGTAATCCCAGCACTCAGGAGGCTGAAGCAGAAAGATCACTGTGAGTCAGAGATCAGCCTAGACTACAAAGTGAGTTCAAGGCCAGCCTGAACAGCATAGTGGGGGTGGAAAAAAAGAAAAAGAAACATCTGAGGAACTGAATCTTGTTAACATCAGGACATTTACCTACTACCTAAAAGGCCCAACAACTCTAATATTAAGTACTTGTCAGAGAAAAAAAAATCTATAATACAAGAAGAATCTTTAAGAATATTCGTATCAGCTTGATTCATAATAGCCAGAGCTAGAAGCAACCTACAAGTCTTAGCAAAAGAAGAGATGAACTGCATACAGTACCTTCATGAGATGAAATCTACTCAGCAGTAATTAGGAACTACTGACACATGCTATGTCAAAAATATTATGCTGGGCAAAAGAAGTCTTTCAGAAAGAGTATGTTTGTTTGATTCCATTTATGTGAACTCCTAAAACAAGCAATTCTGAGTGTGTGTGTGTGTGTGTGTGTGTGTGTGTGTGTATGTGTGTCTGTGTGCGTGTGTGTGTGTGTGATGGCAGTACTGGAAATAGAATCCAAGGCTCTGACACTGACCTACATCTCTGGCCCTTTTTAATCTGAAGCAAGGTCTTGCCAAGTTGCCCAGGCTGGCTTGAACTCAAGATACTCCTACCTCAGCCTCCCAATCCATACGCCATGTCCAGCTAAAATAGGAACAGTGGTTGTCCAAGGGGCAGGAGTAAAGGATAAAAGCTAAGAGGCATGAGGGAACCTTCTGTGGTTGTAATAACTTTCTGTAAGGATTTGAGTTATGTAAGTGTTTGCATTTTCAAAACTCAGTGACTGTATCATAAGATTTGCCCCAATAAGTCTTTAGGGCAGCTCCACAGATGCCTGCAATTTACACGGACCGTGCATTAAAAAGCTGATAAACAGAGGGATATATAAGCAAATAGTATGTAGTAGAAATTGTAGTGTCGTACTTTATGTAAGCATTCCTCTACTGTTTGACAGTTTGCTTGTTATCAATTTCATTATTACAGCCTTTTCCCAAAAATGATAGCATTAAGGCAAAAAGTAAACTTCGGACAAAATTCTAATTCAAGGTTCTATTGTCAATGTTTTAGAGATTCCTTAAGGAACGTATAAAACTTACAGAAAACAGTAACAGATAATCTAATTTATAACCAGCAACTTTTGGTCTAGGGAGATATCTGTGAAATTAGTCCTTAAAAAAAAAAAGTTACCAGATTAGATTCTTAGTACCCAAAATAGGACACTTACTTGAAAACATAATCAAGAACAACCTTCCCACAATAAAAAACACAAAAAGATTCAGCACTAAACATCTGGGTTTTTTGTTTTTAACCCACTGGTGGGCAACAGTTTAGAAGACAAGAGTTTCCCACTAGGAAAAAAACATTTGTACTGAGGAAAAAGCAAGTGTGGTCATGCTGAAAAATAAGGGTCTGTTGAGCAGCCTCTGTAGGGCTAAATGTATTCTTCAAAAGATGATGAAACTAGAATGTATATTTTGCTAGTTTTGATACAAAGCACCTCAAATTACATACTATAAAGCAAGTCAAATGTTAATTAATTACTAAAAGCCTATGTCAAACATTTTCAACCTGAAGTTCATATTATGAGATCTCAGAATTTAAGACTTTGTTGAAAATCTGGAAAAAAAAATCTTATCTGAACTTTTCTATTAAAAGAAAAAGACCTCATCAAAATTGTATTGGTCCTTTAGCAAAATTACATCACTGTGAGGAAATGAACTAAAGAGATGCTATCGCTCAAAACTGGTACTATATTTCAAAAGACCTTTGAGTGCTGTACTTTGAACAACAAAAAACCAGGATCGACAACCTTATCTGTAGAAAATAAAGTCTCTTATAAACTCTAGTCAACAAGAAAAAGCTGGACCAATTTGATATGATCATTCTGTGATAAATGTGGAAACATCAACAACAGAAAATGAAGTTCATGCCCTAATTATGAACAGGACGAGTCCATTATTAACGTAGTTCTCTTTTACAACTCTCTTACATATACTACTGCTCAGATAGTAACATTAAGGCATACGTTTAAATAAAACCAGGTTTACTCAAAAAGTAATTAATTAATTCTACTACTAGAAAGAATAGGGTTGTCGTCATGGGAACATAGTCACAAGGACTTAAATAGGATTTAATGTCATTCCTGAAGACTTTAAAAATGGTTTCATCTCATGCTACAGAACTGTAAAATCATTTTTAGACTACATGTTATTCCTTCCAACATTTGCTTGACCATCTAGGCTCTCCCCTGTACATTTCCTACTTTAAAAAACAAAATCCCTAATATTCCAAACCCAAAATAACATCCCCTATTATTCCAAAAGATACTATCCAAAAGATACTATTATTCCAAAAGATACTGTACTTTTCCTATCAGTCTAGGTTACACACATTGTGGGATTCTGTTAGTATTGTTGCTTTTTACAACAACTTTTTACAACAATAAATTCCACTTAAATGCCACTTAAAAATTGTGCCAGTATTATACACCTAAGTATTTGCAGAACAAATTAAAGTGTAATTTTGAAAGTTTTCCACCTACGGGACTGTACTGATTTCTTCTCTTTAGAAGTTATTCCATGACAGTTCAATGACTGTAATAAAAACCAGCTATGGGGCAACTGAGAATTCCTTTTAATTACTTAACATACACTTGATGGAAACTAGATTTAACAAAACTTTAAAGTTATATACACAAACAGAAGTGTAATAAACTGAGTACAGGGTATTATGTTTTTATATCATAGAGAACTTTATCACTGTGTTGTCTATTTTCACAATTGTGCTAAAATATATTTTTATAACTAAAAAGTCAGTTCAAAGGTTCTCATAACCACACCATAATTACAAAGTGGTTTTACTGTTTGCATTCAACCTTATTTGGGTACGCATAAAACTCCAAAATTAAAAGTAACGTGCAAACAGAAGATGTAATTTGGAGGATAAGTCTTTTTTATGTGACTAATCTGAAATAAGTAAATTAAACAAACAACAAATAGATATAGCTATTGTTTCTTACAAAAAGATATAGTAATAAATGACAAGATATTTTAAGTGTTAAAGAATACAAAAGTAAGCAACTTGAACTGATTTATAAAATCCAGCCTACACCTTTTATTTAGCCTCAAGAAAAAGAAATGTCATTTCATTTAAAACAAGCAAGACGCTGGAGTAACCAGTTAGATAAAAGCTCATTTATGACCCAATTCACTACATTCCTAATAGTAGTCATTTATAAATCCAGAACAGATCCAGTGACCTAATAATGATTTCCTGTGTTTCTCATGCCATTGGTCATGACCAATTTAAGATTCACAATCAGTATTTGCTAAAACTGAAATGGAATATAACATAAAATATCAAAATATAATACATGTGTAAGAGAAAGTATAGCTGTCCAAAACTTTCAAGTCAGTTGCATGTATGTGACAGCAGAAAATTTATTTCTCAGTATGGCCTGTAATAAAAACTATGTGAAAGCTAGTCTTGTCTATCGTTTCCAAATACTTCGTCCCCAAAACACTGAATAAATTATAAACTCTACATTATAATTATTCACAAAAATGAAAAGCGGCCATAACCCCTGTATAACTTGTAACAGCTTACACTTAATTTTAAAAGCTTTAAAATCAAACTGCCTGAATTCACATCCAAATCTCACTACTTTCTGAGTAAACCTGGTTTTATTTAAACATATGCCTCAATGTTACTATCTGTAAAATGAGAATAACAGTATCTGAGCAGTAGCACATGTAAGAGAGTTGTAAACATGTTCTACTATTAACAGAACAAATTGAAGGAATGACACAAATGTAACAAGAAAATTAACAGAGGCTACCTTTGGTGTGTTGTATTTGATATGTGTGGAGAATGTCTTTTCATTTCGTATAGCTTTCTGTCCTATTTGCATTGTACAACATATACGCAAAGTTCATACTTTTAAAGTAGCGTTCCTAATGCAATTACTTTTATCTTTAAAATCATCGGGAAGAGGTATGTAGACAGCTAGTTTAAGACCCTTCTTTTTATTTTAAATTTGTTTTATTTAAAAACAAAAAGCAACACCAAAATAAAGTGAGGTTCACAATATAGGAATCTGCACTTGTTCTGAAGAATTTACGAATTTACATAGCACATACGGTACTTCTCACTAAATCCTCACACAATCTTAAGTATCATTTTGCCCATGAGAAAACTGAGACAACCAAGATAAGGGAAGCTGTCTTTTACAATGTTACAACTTGACAGATTATAATGTACCAAATATTCTTCTCCGGGTTACTTCATACAAGTATATTTTGTCTCCAAGCAGTCTGGGCGCTCCAGAAACTCAGTCCGTATAAGCACTTCAGGGAATTACTAAGACTACAACAGACACTTGTTGAATTACATTAAAACTTCTTTTGATTTGCACCGTCCTAAACAAACAACCATCGTATAAAATCAAAATAAACCTAACACACAAACAAAACTACACTCTACTCAAGTTTTCACGCTCAGAACTGTAAAAGTTTATTTAAGTCCTCAGATTACTACTAGACTGTCTTGGAATAAGTACTGAGCAATCACTAAAGAATACATTCACACGTCCCCTTTCCACGTCCCCGCCATCCCCGCAAATCTGTCCTCTCCAAGTGTCCAGCTGAGGTCCTAAAAACCATAACCACGCCCCCGTCTTGTCCCCACACAATAACCTGTTTTCTTTTTCCTCTCGGACCACCCGACCGCCATCCCAAAACCCTTGAACAATTCAAAGTCTCTCACCTGCTGCGAAGTGCAGGGGAGAAGACTTCCGGCCAGCCATGTCCTTTGCATTTACGTTTGCAGCGTCCACCAGCCTCTTTACCCGGGACACGTCCCCATTGCGACAGGCCTCCAGGAGTTCGCGTAGGGCCCCGCTCACAGCTGGGACCCCTGCCCCAGGTATCGCTGCCCCAGGCCCCAATGTTGCTGTGGTGCTAACCCCCGCCGCCTCGGGGCTCTCAGCCAAGCTCGATCCAGGGGAGGATGGAGAGGAAGATGAGGAAGAGGTCGGGGAAGAAGAGGACGACGGTGAATTGTTACTGCCCCCGCCTGCTGAGTTGAGAGCGACCCCAACGGCAGCTGAAGCGGAAGCCGCTGGGACCGCCGTACTGGCAGCTACCGTACAAACTGAGCTGGTGGCACTGCAACAGCTGGTACTGTCAACCGGGTCCGGGGATCGAGGCCTGTCGGGCGGATCCCGACTGCCATCCCCCTCCGGCAGCGCTAGGCCGTGCCTCGGGGAGGCGAAAGTGGCCAGGCCCCCAGTCGTGGGGGAAGCTGGGGTGGTCCCCGGGGCCAAACCAGGACTAAGGGGTGGGGGAGGTGGCGGCGGCGGAGCCGAAGCCCCTGGGGCGGGCTGGAGCTGTTGTTGATGATGGTGGTGATGATGCTGAGAGCGACGCGACGCCGCCATCTTCGGACTCCCCCAGCACTGTCACTGCGGCAACGGCCCCACCGCCCGCCCTCACTTCCGACCTCTGGACCAATCAGCACTAGGCGCACAGGAAATGATACGAGGAGTGGGCGGGGTCAAATTGAAGGAGGAAAGTATTGGGAGCTCGCAAAACATCCCGCGAAGGGGGCCTGGCCTTGTGGCTGAGGGGCGGGCTTTGTGGTTCGCTGGCGGGCGGGCTGGAGAGTTTTGAATGCCGGAACCCTCCTCTGCCCGAATAGAAAACTTCCTCAATTTCTCACTTTCAACCTCCATGACCCGCCCTGCCCCGTGCTGTCTCCTAGTCTCCTGTGGTTTTATCTCGCTGCATAGTCAGCTTTTGAAGTTAACTCAAGTTTTGAAGTTAATTCAAGTAAAAATACCGTAACCAATAGTACCGACTTGACTTTGGAAGATTACATGAGCTAATATATGCGAAGCGCTCTGTCAATAATACACAACTAATCAACCCATTGGGGATTTTTAAAGTCTTTTTCCAGTTATTCTGTCAGTCTCTTATTCCTTCTAAATCTTTTCATTCTCTGTTGTACTGTGTTAATCCTCCATTTTTAGAATGTTTCAGATTAGAATTAGCAAGGATTAAAATTCAAACTGCCGTTTTATAGCTGTGTAAATTTGATCAAGCTATTTAACCCATCACTCTGCGCCTCGGTTTCCCACCCATAAAATCGAAATAACAGTTCAATAAATGTTAATTACGATTTTTTCACTTTTATTATCTCTGTAGTTTATTTTCGACCTAAATTTAGGCCTAATGAGTATGTTCTTTCTTTTTAATTTATTTTTCCCTTAGCCTCTCCTCCTCTCCATTCCTATCACTCATCCTCCTTCAAACCTCCTAAACAGACATACAACCTGACTTCTGTCTATCTGCACCTTCTGATGTCATTTTCAGCAACTGCCTATATATGCTGTTTTGTTGTTTGTCATCAAAAGAGATGTATCCATGAATGGCATGATCTCAATGAGGACTTCATTTCATTCATACTGTCTGAATATCCTAAAAAAAGTAAGATTTAAACTAATCAAGAAGAATATTAAACCAAGTGGTAAACTCTTACTTCTCATGTTCATTATTAAATATAATTCATACAATGTTACTATTCCCATGTCAATAAATGGGTAACTTTTTGAAACTATTAGTTAGATGCAACAAGATCAGGAACATAATATGGGTAGCATTTTTAATTGCGATCTAAGTTTACATATTATAACTGTAACATTACCTCTTTCATCAAATTCTTTGGCTTACAGTAGACACTTGACAAAAACGTATGACAAGGTAAGAAAACTCTAGAGTGCAACTAAACTTGTAACATACCACATTCTCCTAGATTTAAATCCCTTTAGTTTTTCTTGCAAAAATGGTATTTTGCTACATCTGACAATCTATAAATCTTTATACATTTTATGGAAAACATCTAAGCATTGTAAACATAGACATTTAAATATCTAAAATTCAAATTTAAAGTGATAAGCAGAGAAACTTATGCTTGGACTATGTGATTATTAAGGCATATCTTCACTATATTTGTCGTTGCTGGGACATAATACCCAACACCCAACATTAAAGGAGAAAGGTTTATTTATTTAACAGTTTGTAAAGGTTTCAGTCTATAATCAACTGGCTCTAAGGCAGGATGGCATAGAAGAGGGACAACCCTTCAGGATGGTGAAAAATATCAAAAGCAACAAGAAAGAGAGGAGAGAGGACAAGCCTTTTTCTGTCCCTTATATGTATGGAGGCTGCCTGGAGTAGGGCAGTACCAATTCAATCAGTAGACCAGTCCACCAAATTATTCTGCTGGGCTCTTTTCTGTTGACTATTACCATAAATCTGTCTAAAAGCCTCCAATAGTAGCAATGCCACTGCTTCAACACTAGACTACCTTGATTTTCTTCTGCCAGATTAATCAACCACCCTTAATCTCAGTCTCAGGCAAAGTCTCTGGGCACAAGCAAAATGCAGACAAGCCTTCTGCCAAGCTATAACACACATTGTCTGCATTCTAACAACCAATGCAATCCTTCCCAACAGAAACTTCCTGAATCTGGTCTTTACTGGCTTTCTGGTCTTCCAAGCTCTGACCAGAAACTCCCATACAGAATGGTTTAAGGCATTCCAACTCTATTTTTTCAGCCATTATCTCTGAATCATTCCAAACTCTCCCCACAAGCTATTCCCAAAGTTTCCTGAAATGTATGGTCAGGTATAGTTACATCAATGGACCCAATTTTCCAGTACCAAATTTTGTTTTAGTTACTTTTCTCATTTCTGGGACAAAATACCCAAAGGTAAAGGAGGAAAAGTTTATTTAACTCACAATTTTTAAAGGTTTCAGTATCAGAGCCATAATCAACTGGCTGTAAGGCAGGGTGGTGTGGCAGAGGGGCAACCTGTCAGGGTTGTGGAAGATACTAAAAGCAGCCAGAGAGAAAGGAGAGAGGACAAGCCTCTTTCTGTCCCTTATGTTGTGTGGAGGCTGCCTGGAGTAGGGCAGGGTCTATCCAGTCGGTGGGCTGCCTCATCAATCACCCACCCTTAATCCCAGCACTGCATTACATTCAGTACACTTTGGATACAGCCACCTCCAAAAAAAAGTCTATAGCTGAATGATATTTTGGGGAACATGTAGACACAAACCATAGCACTGTTCCACCTTCAATTCCTTACTCAGAATCCAAAGACTGCAGACAAACTCCAAAAATATGACAGCTGCATTTCCATAAACTGGTGTTATAATTCACAGAACTATTCTGTATAAACTCATCAATGGACTTGCATTGTTGGTTGGCTTGTATAACCCTTGAGCTACAATAGGATCTGTAGTTCCCCATGGTTCTGGATTTCTTTTTCAATCAAGAGTTGTGCCAATTTTTTAAAAGAAATATACAGCAAAAGAAGAGGCTCTACAAACTGAACTATCATGATCATGAACAAAGGAGTGTTCCTTTTTCATCAGAGTTTGAAAAATGCTCATGAGACCTCCGAGGAGAATGCCAAACCAACATCACTGTCTTCACTCTTAATGTCTTAAGAGCACAAGTTAGCTCTGAGGAGCAGATAGTAAATCAGTATGTTAGATATCTATAACTCACCTTTTGTCCCCTTGAGTATGGCCTTCCTCCTGAATGGAAAACATTGGAAATATCTCATCTGGATCTGAAATGGGAAACATAAGGAAGAGCTCATGCAACAGCAGTTAGTCATATCACAGAGAGAATACTCAAGCTAAGTCAAAATGTACCTATTACGTCTGTCCTTCGGTACAAAATAAAATCTCTGCTGAATTACCTGAAACTGCTCTACTGGTAAACCATGTTTAAAAGTGCATTCAATCAATTTGAAATTGCTTTTCACATACTCAGCAGAGAGTAGTAAAAGTACTTAGCATTAAGTATTTATACCCTTTATTAGATTTATTTGAACTAATGTTGAGCTCTAAACATGAAAGTTCAGAAATTGTCTAATCGGTGATTAAATACAATTCCATGACAGTTGCATTATACAGTAATGGAAAGAGTGAAGCCTAGGGTGAAACTGGAGTTTGAATCACATTTCTACACAATAACAAGTTGGTTAACTTCAGTAGATATGCTCCAGTCTGTAAGTCTAAAATTTTGATGTTATTGGAAACCTGTCGTGACTATTAAAGGACATAGGTATTTTGTAAGTACTCCTTAAATATCAGTTGCATTCCCTTACAATAGTAAGTAGTGTTATGGCTTGTATTTAGATGTCTCCCCAAAGCCTCAGGCCTTCATAGATGGGGCTTGTCAAAGGTGGCTGAATTTTGAGTGTGGATTAAGGGTAGGATAATTAAATTTATCTCCTGATTGGTTAACATAGCTCTGGATGTCAATAATGGGAAAGTCCAGTGTGGGTTTGGGTGGCACTACCCAAAATGCTTGTGCCCTGGATGAGATAAAGGGGAATGGAGGCTTGCTGCTCCTACTTCGCTACTTCTTGATGTTACTGGTGCTCACTGTTGCTGGCCCTTGCTGCCTCTGTCTGCCACAGCATGGACTGTTTCTCCTCTGTGATGCTCCTCTGCCATGCTGACCTCCCTTGGAGCCAGTCAAGTATAGACTGAAACCTCTACAAACTATGAGCTAAAATAAACCTTTTCTCCTTTGAATTGTGGGTGTTGTATATTTTGTCTCAACAAGGAGAAAAGTAACTAAGAAGTATGATGTGCATAAAGTGTTAACACAAACAAACAACCACTGTTGATAACTCTCTTTACAACTTCCTGTATGACAAAGAAGGATTGAGTAATGGGATTTTTTTAAATTTTTATTTTATTTTATTTTATTTTTTTTGGTGCTGGGGATCAAACTCATGACCTCTCATTTGCCAAGCAGGCACTTGTGCTCTAAGCTAAACCCCTGGGGAGTAATGGGATTTTTAAGCAAGGAAAGATTGAATTCATTCCCTTGTTTGATAATTCAGGATTCTTTACAAGCCCTGAATGTCTTCAAGAATTGTTGAGGGCCACAGTAAAGTAGCATCTTATCATTTGCAAACATGTTCACCCAAAAATTACATCCCACTGCGCTAAACATGTGAGCACATAGCATTCTCCTAGACCATATTGTTGACACAAAAGAAAAGGCCACCAACTCAAAGGATGCTCACTTTCTGGGCTGCTTTTGATGGGATTTTATTTTCCACCATAGGAGATAGATAAACACTCTTTGCAAGTTATGCAGTCATAAACTTGCACAGATTTTGCGTTTGAGTTTGACTTGGTGTGATTATTTCATCCATGTACTTTCCACTGATCAGCCCTGGACCTGAGTTCATTGGTGATACTTCAGATCTATTAAACCAGTCACCCTCGGATGCCCTGTGCCATGCACCCTGAGCAAATTTGACAGCACATGCCAGAGCTACAGTCTAGCCAAAACAGTGTCATTTCTTCACTTTAGTCTTAAAGGAAGATAATAAGTTATTCTTAAGTCACAAATGCTCTTGGTGCCAAAAGCCCA